GCACAACGTGATGACTACAGCTCAATGTGATGACGTTACAGCACAACGTGATGACGTTGCAAAACAACGTGATGACTTTACAGCACAACGTGATGACTACAGCACAACGTGATGACTACAGCACAATGTGATGACGTTACAGCACAACGTGATGACCTTACAGCACAACGTGATGACTAAAGCACAACGTGATGGCGTTACAGCACAACGTGATGACGTTACAGCACAACGTGATGACGTTACAGCACAACGTGATGGCGTTACAGCACAACGTGATAGCGTTACAGCACAACGCGATGACGTTACAGCACAACGTGATGACCTTACAGCACAACGTGATGACGTTACAGCACAATGTGATGACCTTACAGCACAACGTGATGACCTTACAGCACAACGTGATGACGTTGCAGCGGCAGCGTAACACAATGACGTCACGTGTGTCTACCTGATCTCACAGCGGAGAGGAAAATTCAACATGTTGGCAGTGTGGAAGTGTTATTTTTCATTGTTGAGGATGTCGGGTTCCGAAGATTTATGGACTACGTTGAGCTTCGCTACATCATCCCCAGTCTGAGATATTTTTCCAACGTAACGTTACCCGAGTTACCAGCCATCATTTCTGACGTCATTGAGAAGCTAATAACCGATAGCACGACTTGTTGGGTGAGTTTTACCAGACATTTGGGCGTCGTGTTAGCCTCGTTAGCATGATTAGTCTTACAGCACAATGGAGAGACAAAAACTTTGAACTTAAAAAGTGTGTCCTTCATGCACACACTGCAGCTATAGGAACCTGGAACAAGCCTCCACAGGTGAGACAGCATCACAGGTGACTAATGCTAATAAATAACATTCAACACTTTTCATTTATATCATATGGCTGTTACAGAATATATGTCACCAGCTCTTACAGCTGTTGCACAATTTTTGTAGCCAATAAGCCTAAATAAGATGCTATGTTCTGACAAAGGAACGTAAATAAAATATCGGCATTGGTTATCGGCCAAATAAGTTTTAACATATTGGCCAAAAATCCAAAATTGTGCATCCCTAAAAAGAAACATAACAAATATAGGAGTAGACCAATTTCATGTTTTGTACATTCCCGCAACAAGACATTGCAATAGTTTCACCAACGTCATGTTTTGGACTGGAAAAAACTAAAAATAAACCTCCAGTGACGTAGTGCCCATGCTGACACAGACCTCACCGGGAGGTGCACCCCACAGTTTGAGAAGTACTTGTATTAAGACATGATGTACCCGTTTAATGGTAGGTGCATCAATTATCTTTACCAGCTTCTTGCTTTTTGGATCACGGGGGTTGCCGGTGCCAATACTGAGCAGTCGCTGTGAGAGAGGCAGGGGACATTCTGCACAGGTCTCTTGTCCATCACAGGGACACATGGAGACAAAAGTGGGTGCAATGGCATGCAATATTGCCAGATTTTAATCTCTGACAATGTGTTGGGAATAACTCTTATCATCTTCTTCTTCTTTAGGCTGCTCCTTCTTCAGGGGTCGCCACAGTGAACTAACTCGCAAACACTTGGTAATTGTTTTTACTCCAGATGTTCTTCCTGACCAACCACAGACACCGAGCTGCCACAGCCTCTGTGGAGCAGAGAGCTGCATCTAGGACACCTGGGGGAGCAGGTGGTGGGGGTTAGGGCCTTGCTCAAGGGCACAGAGCGTTTCATCTTTCCCACCCACATTTGATGTTGTTGGTCTGAGGCGTTGAGCAGGCGACCTTCTGATCACAGGCTCACCTTCTCTAACCACTGCACCACAACTCAAATTTAGAACATTGTCTATAAAAGTGAGATATGGTTGTTTTTGTGCATATATAAATCATTTGGCTATGAGGAACATTTAATTAACTGTACTGACTCCATTAAAGAGTTACACTCCACAAATGTACTGAGGGGAGTGGTGGCGCAGAGGTTAGAGAAGGCGGGCCTGTGATCGGAAGATCGCCGGCTCAAGCCCCGGTACCGACAACATCAAAAATGTGGGTGGTGTAGGTGAAGCACCTACACCCACCCCCACCCTCATTCGTCCCACCTTTGGCCCTTGAGCAAGGCCCTAACCCCCACCACCTGCTCCCCCAGGTGTCCTGGATGCAGCTCTCTGCTCCACAGAGGCTGTGGTTGGTCAGGAAGAACATCTGGAGTAAAAACAACTGCCAAGTCTTTGTGACTTAGTTCACTGTGGCGACCCCTGAAGGAGGAGCAGCCGAAAGAAGAAGAAGAAATACTTCTGCAACTTTCTTTAAAATCCCCATCATTTGGTTCATAAGATATTTTGCTAACAGCCACACAGGTGAAAACATTCCTTTCCATCTTCTCGTCTGGACAGCGGTGATTATAGTTAAAAGCAGTAAATTGTTGTTTTTTTAAGCAGGATCCACTGATGAGTGGATGGAAGTGTTGCACCTTCAGCTGCACCTTCAGCTGCACCTTCAGCTGCACCTTCACTTGCACCTTCACTTGCACCTTCAGCTGCACCTACAGCTGCACCTTCACTTGCACCTTCAG